GAGTCATTAACAGAGATGGTCCAACAAACGTTCATTAAAACAGGATTAAAGGTTCTCTTCCAGATGCATCAAGACTATGCACTTAGCTTTTATCCACTCTCTCTGAACACTTTCTGATAGGAAGATGTAAAACTCTTCATTTGTTACAGGGCCAGCAAACTGTTTCTGTAAAGAACCAGCTGGTAAAATGTTTAGGTTTTTCAAGTCATGTAGTCTCTGTTGTTACAACTGAACTCTGCTATTCTAATGAAAGCAGTCATAGACCAAATTGTAAAAGAATGGGCATGGCTGTGTTCTAATAAAATTTTATTTATAAAAACAAGCTGCTGGTCAAAATTTGCTGACCCCTGCTATATTTTACTCTAGGGACTTTGCACTGTTGAGAGTCAACAAGTACTTCTGATTAATTTCCCTTCCTTTGAATACTTTTTCATAAGTCTGCACAAGAGATATAGGACTGAGTCAGCAGCAAAAAGGATTAATATTAGCTCTGCAAACTTGAGTGGATTTCAAGTCTTGCAATGGATTACTGAAGAAGTCCAATATTCTGCTTTAGTATGACAATAGCTGTTATAATTGTTGGGGAAAATGTATTTTTTTAAATTCTTAGTCACTGTTCTAAACAATTCTGCTTAGTCTTGCAACCAAAAAGCAAGGGGATGATATCATCTCCAATGTGGTTTTAGCAACATTAATTCTCTGGACTTATTCCATTACCTGATAATAGATTATTATTCTCACCTGAAATGCATTGAGTAAAGCAAAAATAACATGCCAAGCCAGATTCTGACTGTCTACCATTGTTCCTATACCAAAGCTCCAGGTAAGCCCTAGCAGAGGGCTCAAAATAAGAAGGCTCTTTCCCATACGAATGACAGTGACCTTGTCCTCTCGATTCAGTCGTTCTCCAACAGTTGGCCTCCAGAGCTTCATGAGAACTAATAGTACCACAGCCAAATTCATGGCTACAACAGTCAGGGCAGGAACAACAAAAGCTAACAGAGGTTTGCTTCCTTCTGACCAGTTAAGCCAACACGCATCTTTCCTTTTGTAATTATTGCTTGGCTGTGTAACTGCAATTGTGATAACAGATATGATGAAGGGACATCCATAGCCCAGACAGAACCCAAGAGCCATCATCAAAGGCATGGCTATGTGATGGAAGACAAGGATGATTCGATAAGCCAGCAAGATGCCAAGTACAAGCATCCAGAAGAACAAAGAGAGGTAGAAAAGGTGTGTAAAGAACACTGCAGCTATGCAGACTCCAGAAGGGCTTGTCGTGTTGTCCACAGTAGCACCAACAATAAACCAAATATCAGCAATTAAGAGGGATAGGGCTATGTTCACTATGCAAACATGGCGTGTGTGTGAGGTTTGGTTTTTCTTAATCTGCTTCCAAAACAGAGCCTCAATGATCAGGCATAAGGTGAGACTTCCAATGGAGATACCCAGTCCCACATAAGTGATCCACTTCACAATGGGGATGATCACAGGGGGGACAAAGGGTGACATCAGTATGGAGAAGGAGGTCAGATGAGTACATCGGCACATAACCGTGTCTAGAGTTTCATTCACCAGGTGGCAGCCTTCATTATTCCACTGCAAATGACTAAAATCCCAAAACACACAATGAGGCTGGGTCAGGTTGGACTCTATCTTAGAAAAGGCCAGGAAAATTTCATTTATGGAATAGTTTTGGATAACTGTGGATATTACAGGGCCATTGACCTTAGCACTTCCATTTTTGGTAATAGGTAGAATATTTCCCAAGGTCATTGAAGCCATACTGATAATTGTTTCTGGAAGGGATCTCTGGAATTGACCTGACCCAATTAACAGATCGCCTCTGATGGGAATGGAGCTATTTTCTGGAAACATTTCGATCTGGTAGTTGTAGCCTTCTTTGCGTTGACTTTTGGTTACTGGTATTCCTTTCCAGTTAATGAATTTATGAGAAAAATTTAGAGGCAGAGCTGTTGGAGGCACCAGACTGCTGATGTTTTCCAATGTCTCTAGGAACCGTGAGCTGGCATGCTTTTCTTCTTGCAGCAAGACTGTCCAATTAGTTATTGATGCTGAATTTAGAATATGGTCAGCTATATTGATGACATCCTAAAATACAAGAATATAAGTCCATTTGTTTTCAGTAAACAAATAAGAGGACTAAGAGTGGATAGTCATTAGTATTAAGTAAGGCAAAAATGCCCAGGAAATTGGTTCAGTTGAAGACTACATTAAAACTCATCAATTAAATTCAGTTCTGTCTGTTGTTCTATACAGTAGAAATTTTGTAATGGCTATGTCGCTAGACTCCCATGTAGTCGACTGCGGTTCAAGTCCTGGACCCGGTGGCTTAAACTCACACCGGGGGCATATGCATGCGTGCCCAAGATCCCCAGAGGAGAATGGAGGAGAAGGGATTGCGGCGTGGCCATCCGCCCTGGGGGATGATTTCTCGCCTTCTGTCTCTCTGTCTCTGTCTTTCTGGCGAGTGCTCATGCCCTATAGTGAAAAACTCTCCAAAAATAAAAAAGAGAAAGAAATGGGTCAGCCATAGAACCCCTCTCTCCCACTGACTACTCTAGTTCACAGGTGTCCTGCTGCAGGCATCAGTCACTTTAACAGAGGTTTACTTTCAATATTTATAATCTAGCCCTTGGTGGTGCCTCACCCAGAATCCCAGTGTGCTGCTTCTACCACCCCCAGGAACCTCTGATTTCTTTCGCTTTGTGTACAGCTGCTCTGTGTTCACCTTTCATTTTACTTTTAGCCATTTCATATCACTTTATTTTAGTTCCTCTCTTGTAAACAACATAAAGTGAGATTTTTCTAAAAACCAATCTAAGCATCTTTTTTTGAATTCAAGATGTTTAACTTATTCATATTTTATTATATCTTTGGCATAATGTTCACCATATATAGGTAAATATAATTGCACGATTATGTTACATTTATATTATTAGTTAGTCGGAAAAGCCATGAAGCCTTTTTTCTATGTTTTTCTATGCAAAAATGTGTCATGACTTTTCTAACAAACCAATAAATAATCCAATCTTGTAAAATAGTAAATGTTTTAATATATACAATGCACACATACAAAATATTTGTAAGAATAGCTATTCAAAAACTGTTTCTTGAGCACTTGGTATGTGTTATTCTTGCTATTCTTCTAGGCATTGAGGTGACACCTATAATGTAAACAGTAGCATTCTAGGGTGACCAGATTATAGTTATTTTTCTTGTTATTTTTATAGTTATTTTTATATTTTATGTTAATATTTTTATAGCTCTTCTTTCTTGTTATTCTTCTAGGCATTGAGGTGACTCCTAAAATGTAAATAGTAGCATTCTAGGATTACCAGATTATAGTTATTTTTCCTTTTGCTTATTTGCATTTCTTAATGTAGCCAAGCATTATTAATATAATTTTTAAGTTAAATTTAAGTATCCAAACTAAATAATGAATTTCTCATTACACTGCTAAATTTTCAGAGAACTTATTGCCACCAAGAACAATGACAGGCTGCAAGCATATATTGAAAATCTGTTGCCTGTGTCATGGAGAAAAAATGCTCACCCTTCCTCTAAGCCAGGTGTTGCCCAGGTAGTCTTCTTAGGGACAGTTCCCTATGACTTTGAGCTCACACAATTGATCTCACAAGCCCCTTGTGTACTTCAGAGAAATCAGTAGAGCTTACATGAGAACAGTTACATGGCTCTCTGTCTTTTCTGAAAGCTTCCCATGGCTCAGGCTTTTGTTATTCCTTCTACAAGAATGAGCGCTTAAAGAGATCCCTTTAAGCACAGGCAAACTTACCGTCATTGTTGAATTGGACACTCTGAATTGGCTTGACAGAGACAAGGATGAAACATTGCCCAAAATCGACACAACTGATGCCAGATTCCCAGCTGTGGTTGATGGACTTTGCTGAATGATGACTGAAAGATTTCGCACCAAGGATGACATGGCTGCCTCAGTGGCATTGCCTGCAATCACACTGAAATTCTAGACATAAAAAATGGTTACATTCTAAAAACCAATAAAATTCATGTGCTTCATCAAAGTTAAATCAGATGGTCTTTCGTTTCCTGGTCTATAACAATAGGTTGGTAAACCAGATGACTCTTCAGGTCCATTGCAGTTCTGTGTATTCACTTCTGTGTGACATACTCCCTGCTCTGACTTCTGCTATGTGTACATCATTTGATTCCCAGACTTTCTGCACTTTTGAGGCCAGCTTAGTTGCTGTTCCATCTATCATAGACCTCAGCATGAATTTATTGCTCTGCAGCATTCCTCCCTGACAAAATCATCAACTTGGACATTTTCTGATATTTTCAGCTGCCACTTAGACTCTGCCACTCATGCCCATGTTCCCACCAGAGTCTGATGTCACCCTCACCTTCTGCACACTGACAAGGATATAAATACATTTTACCTTTCACTCAGCCATGTTCACTGGGAGACGCCCACTGTGAAACTCAAAACTAGGGCAAGTCTACAACGTGTAAATACTTCACCTTCTTCAGTTCTTCCAGCTGAAGGAGAACACAAGTCTCTTTGAGAACTTGCCACCCAGAGGACAGGCACCTGGCTGTGATGTTTCCAGTGTAGCCACTGCTACAGGGGAGGATATATTCATCATCCTTAGATCCAAATCCGAAGACAATGCTGTTACACTGGGCTGAAAGCGAATGGAAACAAATGAGAACAGTGATCCTGAAATGTCCTGACACTATAAGACATTGGTCGTTTAAATACCTCAGAAGTTTATTTCCACAGGCAAAACCAAGGCAAAATTCAGAAGTAGGAGAAGCTTATCTTTGATGCCCAGATTTATCCCATTATCACCTTTTTCTCCTTCCTAATTCCTCCTCTTGTAGGCTGTCTCTTTCCTCTATGTATTTCATCTGGATAAAAAATATAGCTTTTAATGGGCTATAATAAGTATTAGATGAACTATGTGATCACTCCCAGGAAATATTTTCATTCTTTAAGGGAACACTAGAAAACCAAAAATTGATCAAGACGTTATAAAACAAAGCAGTAATGATATGGTTAAAAGATGGGCAGTTGCCATTGGAGGTGACATTTCATATCTTGTACTCCTTTAAAAGCTTCTCTTACTGCAACTAGCTGCTAGTCACTCTTACAGCTAGCTAGCACTTAATAATTTCTTACTATGATGGGAATTGGGAGAAAGAAAGATTGAGAGGAAGAGCCACAAGGGCAATGATTTTTATTCATTTTCCCAACTGTGTTTTAGACACTTGGTAAATATTTGAATAAATTTTTCAAAAGTAAGTGACACACAATCTAGTTTGAACATAAAGAAATAAAACAGAAAGAAAACTCTCTGAAGATAAAGTGTGTGTGTGTGTGTTTGTTAAAGATATGCATTCTTTTCATTTTATATTTTCTTATTTACATTTAATTGTCATAAATCTTAGTGGCATACCATATTGTTTTTGAGAGCATATATGAAGTCTATGATAATTGGATTATCATAGTTATCAACTAAGAACTTTACAATCTCATGTCTATTAAAAGCTTTGCTTAACTCCACCCACCCACCCTCATGATCCACCTTCCTATACTGTCTCTATGTTTGTTCTCCCCAACTGTTATGGCTTCAAATATTTATATTTCTGCCATAGAGTGCAGACATATGGAATATAATGAGCAGAGACATGTTGTATTTCATAGACTGGTTTATTTCACTTAGCTCAAATCTAGATTCATCCACTTTGTATTAGAAGACAATCTTGTTCTTTATTACTGAGTAAAAAGTCTATTGTGTATATATGCCATTTATTTATTTATTTTTACATTTAATCATTGTATATCTATCATCATAAAATAAAAATCCAATCATTAATTGTTGGGCACTTAAGTGGATTCCATGAATTAGCAACCATGAATAATGCTGTGATAAACATGAATGTGCAGGTGTCTTTCCAACTCAGTGTTTTCCTGTCCTTTGGGTAAATACTAAGGAGTGGGATTACTGAGTCATGTGGCAGTTCAATTTGTAAATTTTTGAGAAACTTCCTTAAAGTTTACTACAGTGGTTGCATTAATTTACATTCTTATCAACAGTGCAGGAGGGTTCCCTTTTACCACAGCCTCGCCAGCATTTGTCAGTCTTTGTTGTTTTGACGATAGCATTTCTGACTGGGGTTCAATGATATCTTATGGTGGTTTTGATTTGCCTTTCCTTTGTAATAAGAGATACTGAACATTTTTTTCTATGCTTTCTTGCCAATTGTATGTCTTCCATTGAGAGTTCTCTATTCAACTCATATGGCTATTTTTCAATTTGATGATTAGTTTTTCTTCAATGAAAATGTTTGAGTTCCCTATATCTTTGTTATCAAGTCCTAATTTAAGGTCTAGATTGAAATATTTCCTCCCATTGTGGAGGTTGTCTCTTCACTCTATTGTTTCCTTTGCTGTGCAGAAGCTTTTTAGCTTGACGTAATTGTACTTGTCTATTTTTGGAACTTCTGTCTACACTTTAAGTATCTTAGTTAAGAAATTTTTGCCTACTCTCATGTCTTTAAGGATTTTCCCTGTGCTTTCTACTAGGAGTTTCACAGTTTTGAGGCTTTACATTCAGACCTTTGATCTATTTTGAATTGACTTTTGTTCATGGGAAGAGATAAGGGTCTAGTTTCATTTCTTTGCAAACCCAGTTCTTCCAGCACCATTTGCTGAAAAGAGTTTATTTTCTCCATTGTACTGGCTGTGTCCTTTGTCAAAAACCAATTGACAGTATGTTATGGTGTTTATTTCTGGATTTTCTATTCTGTTCCATTGGTCCATGAGTCTGTTTTTATGCCAGCACAAGGCTGTTTTGGTTTTCACAGTTCTGTAATATATTTTGAGGTTAGATAGTGAAATTTCTTCTACGTTATTGTTTTGCACAGTATTGTCTTGGCAGTATGGGGACCTTTACTATCCCAGACAAATTTTTTAAAATTTTTTTTCCTGCTTCTATGGGGTATAAAACCTTCTGCTGGCAGTTTGATCAAAATCAGATTGAATTTGCAAATTAATTTGGGTATAATTGACATTTTAATTATATTGATTTTTCCAATCCAAGAACAAGAAATACCTGTCCATATTTTTGTATCATATTTAATTTCTTTGTTCAGTTTTCCATAGCTTTACTTGCAGAGGTCTTTTACTTCTTTGGTTAGGTTTATTCTTAAGTATATTTTTCCTGATTATTGTAAGTGAGATTATTTTCAATTCTACCTCAGCCTGTTCATTATTGGTATATTAAAGCACTGTAGATGTATGTATATTGAGTTTGTATCCTACAACTTTACCAAATTCATTTATGACTTGTAGGAGGTTTTTTTTTTTTTGGATTCTTTTGGATTTTGTATGTATATGTTAATGTCATCTGGAGATGATTTCATTGACCTTTTCCTAATCAAATGCCTTTTATTTCCTTCTGTCTGATTCTGTTAGCTAGGATTTCCAATACTATGCTGAAAGTGAATGAAGAAAGCGACAAGTCAGGTCTCGTTTCAGATTTTTTGTGTGGTGAAAACTGTATGATGTTAGCTATGAATCTTTCATATGTGGCTTTCATTGTGTTCAGAAGTGAATCTTCTATACCTACTTTGTTGAGTTTTAATAATGAAAGGATGTTATATTTTATTGAATGCTTCATATGAACCAATTGATATGATCATATGGTTTTTATCTTTTCTTCTGTTAATGTAATGTATTACATTTGTTGTTTTACATTTGTTGAGACATCATTGCATTCCTGGAATAAAGCCTACTTGGTTATGGTGTTTAATCTTTTTGATGTGTTGTTAGGTTAGATTTGTTAGTATTTTGTTGAGAATGTTTTCATCTGTATTCATCAAGAATATTGATCTGTAGTTTTCGTTTTCTTTTTCCTCCCCACCCTCTTATTCCCTTATCTGCTTTTGGTATCAAGATGACGGAGGCTTTATAAGATGAGTTTAAGAGGGCTCATTACATTTGACTCTTCTGAGCAGCTTGAGGAGAATTTGTAACACTCCTTTAAAAGTTTTGTAGAATTCAGATGTAAAGCCATTGGGGCTTGGACTTTTCCTTGTCAAGAGACTATTTTTTACTAATTCAATCACATTGTTATCTGTTCAGGCTTTCTATTTCTTTCTGATTCAATCTAAAAATATTGTATGTGTCTAGAAATCTGTCTATTTAATCTAGGTTTTCAGTTTATTGGCATAAAGTTGCACATAGAATTCTCTTATGATCTTCTGCATTTCTGTGATATCTGTTGTAATATTGCCTATTTTTCTTGTTTTTTACTGATTTTATTTTTTTCCCTTTATCTGTTTTAATTTTTCTTGTTCCTTTATCTATTTTATTTTTAACCATTAGCCTAGCTAATCAATTTTGTTTATCTTCACAAAGAACCAGATCTTGGTTTTATTGGTTTTTTGTATAGTTCTTTTATTCTTCATTTCATTTATTTCTGCTTTTGTCTTTATTATTTCTTTTCTTCTGAGTACTTTTGAGACTTTTTTGTTGTTGCCTTTCCAGTTCCTTGAGATGCATTATTAGATTATTTATTTGCCTTCTTTCCATTTTTCTCTTGTGAGTATTAATTGCCATACACTTCAGTCTCAGGATGTTTTTTGCTATCTCACAGATTATGGAATATTGTGTCTTGGTTGTCATTTGTCTCAAGATATTTTTAAATTTCAGATTCAGCAATTTTGAAGTCATTCAGGAGTAAATGGTTTCTATGTATTTTCATGCAATTTCAAAGGCTGTTTCTGTTAGTCATTTCAAATTTAATTCCACCATGGTCAGAAAACATGCTAGCTATATTTACTATACTTTCAAATTGGTAAGGATTTGTTTTGTGTCCTATTATGTGGTCAGTCTTTGAAGATGTTCAATGTGGGGTTGAAAGAAAAAAAGGACTCGCTTTACCTAAGCAGAGGATGAGAATCCAGTATTACCTTTCCCAAACACTCTGAAAGAACTGTCTTCTAGTGGAAACAACTTGTGAAGGGCTGCTTTAGCCTTCTCAGTCACCTGTTCAATGGCTGACAGCAGCTCAGATGCACTGCTGGAACCAATAACTTCATACCCAGCAATGATGCTTCCATCTCTGCAATGAGCATGTGGAAAGAAAAACGAGACTCACTATTCAATCATTCAGTTACTCGTGCCTATTCTGTGTGTGCATGGCTTTGAGTTCACTGGAATAAACCAAACAGGCTTGATCCTTGCCTTCATGGAACTTACATTATAATGGAGAAGGCAAGATAATTAAAAACAAGTAACCACCAAATATTTGTAATTATTTAAAGCTATAATTTTTAATATTGTCATAAACAAGTACAGCAATAAAAATAGCAGGTGGAGGTAGGGTCCTACATTAAATTATGCTATGGAATACTACTAGGCAATAAAAGAAAGGAACCACTGATACTCAGAAAAACAAGGATAAATCTCAAAGCCATTATGTTGAGTGAAAGAAGCCAGATACACACACACACACACACACACACACACACTACACACTGGATGATTCTGTTTATTTAAATTCTAGGAAAGGTAAAACTAACCTATGGTGATAGAAATTAGACCACGGGTTACTTCTGGTAGGAGGTATAAGAGCTGGGCATGATGACTGGCTAGAAAGAAACACAAGGGAACTTAAGGGATGAATAAAATGTGCTGACTCTATAGGATGGCACTTGTACAAGCATTTGTCAAAGTCAACGGAACTATACACTTAAGTTTTGAGTACATCACTTATGTGAATTATATCCCAACAAAAGAAGTGAAAACAATGCATGGCTCCAAGACTTGGATCTGTGTAACTGGAAGAAAAGAATCACTGTAACGGAAACAAAGGAGACAGTGGGGAGAATAGGTTATAGCTTAGGATGGTTAGAATAAGACCTCTAGTTTAGACATGTTGTACTTGACATACCTACTGGAAAACCAAGGAGAGATGTCAAGTAAGTAGTTGGATATTTGGGTCTATAGGTCAGGAGAGATGCCAAGCTTAAGTAATAAACCTAGAAACCATCAACATATGGATGATGTTTGAAGATATGAAAGTCAGTAAAGCACATGTAATAAGTTAATCCTATAATTATTCCATGAATAAGCACTGTGTTATCTGTATTTTATAAATAAGGAAACTGAGGTTCAAAGAGGAGTTGGGTGAGGTAATTACTAATTGACAGATTAGAACCTCTGATGCTCTTAAGCTCAAATTCTTAATCACTACATTGAACTTCTGCTCATAATGTATAAATAAGTTCAAATATCCTTTTGTGTAGTGATGGTCACAATGCCTTTACATAGATACAGCCTTTCTGTATTGTTTACAAAGTGTTTTTATGTTTATTATTTATTCAACTTAATGAGGTTAAATCAGGTTCCACAAGTACTGTCTGCTCTGACAGATTTAAATCAGTGACAGAAACTAGGATTTGTTTAATCAGTTTGTAAGATTTGTATATTTGATTGTTTTTCATCACATATATAAAGAATGTCCCCAAAAGTTCTATTTTAGAGGCTTATGCCTACTTTTACTGTGGTTGTGTTTATAAATTATTGGAGACAGCTTATCAGATACACATAATAGAATAAGTTAGAAGCATAAATAGAAAACCAGGACCAAAGGAAAAAAAACACGAATATTCAATATTAAAATTATTGTGATAGATTTCAGTCTTTTCTGTGAGTTTGCTGCCAGTAAAATCAAAGAGAAAAATATGATTAATTATATAGACCTCAATGTAAGGGAAAATGCAGTGTTTTTCCTACTATTGAACTTTAGAGAAAATTATTCATGTGGGACTTCACAGAAAGATATGGGATGGCTTAAAGGATAATTAAAGGGCAATATGTTTTAAGTGCTGTTGAAAATTTACTGCAGCTGTTTTTAAGTTAACTGTGGAAGATATACATATATAAAGTTTAAGTTCTCTGGCCTCTAAACTACTTCCTCTATCAAAAAGACTAAAATAGTTGGTAATCAATGCACATATAGCTAACCAACCACATAACTTTTGACACTAAAGGATAAAAAAGAACAATTTACTAAATATTTAGTTGTCATACACAGTAACTACTGGGTTTTCCTTTTTCTTTTTCCTTATTACCAGAAGGTATGTGTGCTTGCCAGAGAGACAGAGAGGAAGAGAAAGAAAAAGCAGTCCCCAGAGGGGTATAATCACACTGCAATCCCTTCCCCTCCTTTTCCTCATTGGGATTTGGGGCAGTGTGCACATGCTCCCAACATACTTTTTCAAGCTGTCTGGGTGGAGACTCAAAATGTGGTCAGCCATGTGATATCCAGCTCCTTTAGCCACCAGGCCATGGGGCCATCCCACTAATGAATTTTGAATGATGATGTATATAATATGATATCTACACAGAAATATTTACTCTAGGGGGAGCCCTTTGGCTTTGAATTGTACAAATCATATCTCTTGTGATGTGGAAGGAGAAAACTCATTTACCCCTCACCGCTTCCCAAGCATGCACAACATGATCTTCCTTCCAAGGTTCTGCCCTACTACTACGGGTTTGTGATTCTACTCTCTGATCCACTGCTTTGAGAATGTTCTTCAATATTTAAGTTCTTAAACTAATTAATTAATTAATTAATTTCTCTTAGATTTTTGCTATAGGGCACGTGCACTTACCAGAGAGACAGAAAGCAAGAAATCACTCCCCCAGTGGGTTGGCCATGTTGCAATCCCTTCTCCTCCATTCCTCTCTCAGGATTTTGGGCATGGATGCACATGTGCCTGGCATGAGTTTTAAGCCACCAGGTCTGGGACTGGAACTGTGGTAGACTATACGGGATACCAGTGATGTAAACATTATGCCATTTACTGGTTCCCCTTAAACTCATTTAAATGAGAATCAAGGCTTTCCTCTTTAGGCTTCTTAAAGCATCACAGACTCTTGTCCAGTCAGTAAGAATTTTAGTAGAAAAACTCGTTTTGCACTCGGTCTGTCAAGGTCACCTGAGACAGAACTCAGCATTCTGAAGGTCTGTGTACAATTCTGGGGATGCCCTTCTTAGGTCATTGAATTACTTACCGAAACTGGGTGACCTGAACTGATTCAAACCCTTGAATTCCTTTGTATGCTTCTTTAAGCTTAGAAAGAGAACAAAAGACGTGTTAATCTTTGTTCCTATAGTTCCAAAAAAACATTTAAGTTAAAAATGAATGCAGACAGTACATAAACTAAGAATAAGAAAACAAAGAAAAGAGATACAGGGGAAAGAAGGTGTGTATCACATAAAAATAGTTAAAACAATGGTTGAGAATGTAAACAAATACACATACACTCATGTTCACACAGATACACATACATTCACATACACTTAAGACTTCTTTTTGTAAATGCTAATAGTGAATAATCACGGATAAATTTGGTGCCAGATAATATAACATATTCCCCTAAAATCTACTTTATTTTTTTATTTTTTTTTTTTTTGAGAGATTTTCACTGTAGGGCGCATGCGCTCGCCAGACAGACAGAGAGAGACATAGAGACAGAAAACGAGAAATCACCCCCCAAGGGGGATGGTCACGCCGCAATCCCTTCTCCTCCATTCTCCTCTCGGGATCTTGGGCACGCACGCACACGCGCCCGGCGTGAGTTTTAAGCCACCGGGTCCGGGACACGAACCACGGTCGACTACGTGGGAGTCCAGTGACATAGCCATTACGCTAACTGCTGGTTCCCAAAATCTACTTTATTTTCATCAGAAACAAGCCATTACTTTTCACAGTCATTAATTAAACTGAATTCATCTGCAAAGTATTTGCTCCTGTCTTCAGTTAGAATCACGTCTCACCTATCACCTAGGCAGGAGTACAGTGATCTAGTTTTTATGTGACATCATTATGAAGTCCAAGTTTTGCTCAGGAGCTCTCTTCGGCTTCTAACAAGTGAGCGAGTTATCTTTACAGAGAAAATGACAAATATTGACAATTAAGATGAGATCATGGCTCAGTCGGAAAAGTGCGTGCACATCAATGTTTATTGCAGCATTATTCACAATTGCCAAGACATGGAACCAACCTAAATGTCCACAAACTGATGAATGGATTGGAAAAGTGTGGCATATGTACTCTATGGAATACTACTCAGCAGTAAAAAAGAAGACCCTGGCACTCAATAGAAAGTGGTCGCATATGGAGGATCTATTGCTGAGTGAAGTAAGCCAGGCTATGAAAGAAAGATATTGTATGTATTCATTTAATATATATCGACTATCCACACTCTATGGTAGAGAGCAAAATATTGGAGGACATAAAAGCAGTGGAAGTACTTAACGAGGATAAGACAGTGTGGAATTGGGGGGGTGAAGAGAAGAGGATAGAGAAAGAGAGCAAGAGAACAATAGAGAGGCAAGACGTTAGTGAGAAACAGATATGGCTTAATACCTGTTGATGATGACATGTATAGTGTTCTCAACTGGATTGGTCTGAGAAGTATTTCATGATGGGCAAAGTATTTTTACAAGCAAAATGAGAAATGGTGATTGACTGTTTAAAAAAATAATTGGAATAATAATAATAATGACTGGGGAAATCAATGAAAAAATAATGAATGATGAAGTGGGGGAAATTAATGTCTCTGTATTGACTGATGGCATTCCCTTTTGAAGAAGCAATGTAATACACTGTAAAGTTATATGCAATCCAATGTAACATAAACAAGATTATGATGATAATAAAAATAAATAATTTTTTAAAAGATTAGATCATGAAAATTTTCTCATAGCAAATAAAAAGAAGGAAATAATCACAAAGCCTAAGGACAATATTACTCAAAGAAGTGAGCAAAACTGAACACAAGAGAAGAGGAAAGATTTCAATGACTAAACCTTCCTAGAAAGAAAATGATCAGGGAATATCAGTTGTAGACAAAGAAAATAACTGTTCTATAATAACATCTTAAAATTTAATAATTAGGAAGAGGTATTACATATACATGTTGAGTTGAAAAACATCTAAACTTCTGTGTAGCAGATAATTCCTTATGTAATAAGTAAAAAGCACTTACTTGAATTTCAATTTCAGTTGTATATTTGGAGTATACAGCAGAAGATGAATTCAGAAGGTCTTTTTTAAATGTTTCATTAATTTTAAAAGTGCCCCAAACCTCTATGGAAAATAAAAAGAAGTTTATAGGTACAATAAATTACAAACTTGATTTTTATTAGTAGCTACATTTCTAGAAGTATAATTCAAAGTCCATCTGTTCAACAGTGGTATTTCAATTTGTTTTCATCCTAAGTGTTCACCTAAAAAAGTGAATATTATGTAAAAAGTGAACATATATCAAAGCATGTGGAAGCATATGTAAAACCACAGTATTCAATTGTAGATTTGGAACAGCAATGAAAAAGTACTGGTAATCAAGACAACCCTATAAGTAGGTAAATGTGTGCACACGTATGTGTCTTTTTTTTTTTTTTTTGAGAGCTTTTAGCTATAGGGTGCGTGCACTCGCCAGAAAGAGTCAGAGAGACAGAAAGCGAGAAATCACCCCCAGAGGAATGGCCACGCCACAATCCCTTCTCCATTCTCTTTTTGGGAATCTTGGGCACGCACGCGCAGGTGCCTGGAGTGAGTTTAAGCCACCAGTCCGGGATTCAAGCCACAGTCGACTATGTGGGAATCCAGTGACCTGGCCATTACCCTATCTGCTGGCCTCTTATGTGTCATTTAAAAAGGCAGTCACAGGACACTGAAATGTATCCCTACCTGGGCAGTGAGCTAATGTATCATTGTTCCTTTAAAAAATTTAAAAATTAAACACTCCGTGCTAACTCCAGCATTCCTCTTCCCATTGCTGATACTTCTCTGTTTTGGGACACATTCTGCTTATCCTTCATTCAGGACATAAACAAATGTTATCTCTTTTGCAAGACCTTCCCTGATCCCAGATGCCAAGAATCTTTCTTGTACCTAAAGATCTATTTGTGGACATGTCTCATCTGTTCCTGTTCCCATGATACTATGGGAAGCCTCTAATGAGTGTAATCTCTTTCTCATCTACCTCTATATCCCTTAAAGATGGATCAGACATGAACTACCTTTCAAAAGGTAGGCCTTCCTCAATACTTATTGTAGAAATTACACTTCTCTTTTTTGTATTATTATAGCATGGCCTCCCTAGCTAGCTTACTTAATTGTAGATAGCAAGAAAAATGTTCATTTGCGTTGCCCCTCCACAGATCTTGATGTAAAGGTGGTGCTTAATAAATATGTGTTGCCATATTTAATAATATATTTAAAATATTATTAATAAATATGCATTTTTGTGGTCCTTGGAGGGGGAGCCAGAGATCCTCCCTCACTCTTTACTATGCTCCACTAAAAATCTAGAGCTTCAAGGTGACTAGAGTAGGCTTTGAGGAAGCTTCTTAAAGTCCTGCAAGCCCATGTCAAGTCTAACTCATTTAGTTTACCTCATCATTCATCAAAAACAAATGTAAGTCAATAATCTCTCAGTTTATTAAGCCAAAGGTGGTTTTTTTGTTTTTGTTTTTGTTTTTTGTTTTTTGTTTTTAGGGGGTTCTGTAATGCATTCAGTACACATATCTGTTGCCAGTTTGGAGCATTTCCTTCAATAAAATCACTTTGGGTTCCTCCCTATAGTCATACTTCTCGACTTCCCTTTCATCAGAAACTATTTTTAGCAAACAAAGTGAAAAGAAGGTTGGGGAAAAAATGTTTGCTCATTGAAGCAGTTTCTCTACTTGGGATTTTAGTGACTCTCCCTAATCACAATAGCATCATTTATTTGCAGAGCTGGGCTGGATGAACCTAGAGGTTGAAGAGAGGCCCAAAAGTTAACTTTTAGTTCTCTATCATCTGCATTTATGAAGATCTCCCTGTGTCAAGTAAAGCCTAGCAGGATATATCATCACCATCCTTCAAACGCTCTGTAAATATCAGCTCTTTTCAGCAAGGCAAACAGCTAGAGTGCCCCATCTACTGCAGGTTGGCATGGGAAAGGCCACAGCCCAGTGCATTCTTTGGTGCTTACTTGTTCTCTCACAGAAACTGACACTCTCGCTAAGGTTGTTGAGATGACAGTCACAGCTCGAGAGTGATCCAGCCATGTGAAGGTAGCAGTTCCGGGGATCAAGGCATGAAGGAGGAAACCAGTTGTAATCTTCTTCACAGGCACATCGCAAGCCCCCATGAAGGCTGCCACAGTCTGCATGAAAACAGAACTCAGTCTCTGGAGTCTAGTTTATAAACTGACTACTACTGAGTTCTTTGATTTTACTTGGACTCTGAACCAACTATTTCACACTAAATGCTAAAAGGATGAAACCAGTAATGGCAATATTGTCAAGGTAAGGAAAAGCCAATTCAATAGACTGCAAGGTTGGTATCAGAAATCTAGCAGACAAAACTAGAATGCTGAGCTTAACATCCAAAAAAAGGATGCATGCCCATGTACCCATTGCATTGGAAGAGAAAAAGAAGAGGATGTTCATCACATGGGAGTTTCTTAAAGGATTCTGGAGCCTCTGTTAAAACCACTCTAACTGGAGGCTTCCCTCTATCCACCTACCACTACTCCAGGGAAAGCTCCATAAACACTACAGCAAAGCCAGAGAGATATTTTTGGTAGATTCATGATGTAAATTTCCCCTGACCAATTCTTGGTGTTTTGTTTTGTTTTGTTTTTTTTTGTTCTGTTTTGTTTTGTTTTTCTTTTTCTTTTTTTTTAAGATTTTTGGCAGAGGGCATCTGTGTTCATGAGAGAGAGAGACAGAGACAATGAGAAGGAAAGTGAGAAAACACCCTTTAAGGGGATGGCTACAACACAGTCCTTTCTCCCTTATTATCCTCTTGGGATTTTGGTACCCACACACATGTGCCCGGTATAATATTTAAGCTACCAGATCCAGGACCCAAACTACAGTTGACCATGTGGGAGTCCCACACCCTAACCACCACGCCACCTGCTGGTCCTACCCCTGCCAACCCTTTATGTTCATTCCCTTCTATTGAACCTGAAATTCCCACCAAAATTCATTCCTTTCGAATATAAAAAAAAAAAAAATTTAAATTTAAAAAGGACAAAGCCATCAGATGTCTTTGTGAAAATATTTGTGGTGGTACTTAGTGAATGGTTCTCAAATTTTAGCATGCATCTGAATCACCTGAAGGTTCTCACCCCAGTTTCTGAAATGGAATCTAGAATTTGCATGTCTATTAACTTTTCAGATGCTGCCACTGTTCCTACTGCTGGTATGGGCACAACACATTGACAATCAATGCCTTATACAAATAATTTAATTTTTTAAATGCCATCTTCATGATTATTAGTGTTCACTAAATATTTCTTGTTCTCTTACAGGCACATAGTAGGATAGCATATTCTGGCCCCTGAGGATGGGTGGGGCCATAGAATAGTTCTAGCAAGTAAATTGCAAGCAGAATTAGGAGTGTGTTCACTTCTGAGTCAGATAATTCAATTGCATAAGTAAAACTTCCTTGTGTTTCATTTCTTTTCTTTTTTTTTTTTTTTAGAGATTTTTTGCTATAGGGCGCGTGCACTCTCCAGACAGACAGAGAGAGACAGAGAGACAGAAAGTGAGAAATCACCCCCCAGGGGAGATGGCCATGCCACAATCCCTTCTCCTCCATTCTCCTCTTGGGATCTTGGGCACACACGCACACACGCCTGGTGTGAGTTTTAAGCCACCGAGTCCAGGACGTGAACCATGGTTGACTACGTGGGAGTCCAGTGACATAGCCATTATGCCAACTGCTGGTCTCATGTGTTTCATTTCTTTTAAGCTCAGAACAGGTACATTTAAGGAAAGGTCTAACGCATCAACCTGAGTTCCATGACAATCACAGACACAGCCCCTCTACTCACCTGCAATGGATATGTTTCATGAAGAAGAAGAATTAGTAAAACCTTTATTTTTTCAAGTCATGCAGATTGGGGAATGATTATTTCTTCAGCATAACCTAACCTATCCTGACACACAGCTATTTTCCCCAATTACATTCCCAGGCACCAGAGAGCTGACTTACACGTGGTAGCCTTTGCTCTGATAATCTTCATTGGGCCATGTAACCATAGTGATGGAGGCTTCAAGAGTTTCAGAAAATTTTTCAGGTCTCTTTTCTCCTTGGAATCTCTATAGCCCACCTGAAGCAGCAGTTCATATTCTTGGACTGGGCCTAAAGAGAAAGAGAGTCAGATGC